CATATATATATGTGTGTGTGTGTGTGTGTGTGCGCGCGCGCGCGCGCGCGTGTGTGTTAACTCGAGACAGTTAGATGGAGTGTAGGATTCTCGTCTCGCAATCTAATTGTCCCAGATACGATATTTTTCAAAGGATATTTATACCATAGCTCTCTAGTGGTAATTTCAGGTCTTTTTTTATATCGCAAACTGGACTGGCTACTATAACGGTTAACGCTCCCAGTGAGTCTAAAGTGACAATGATTAATAGGGTACTAATTGAAAGGGTTGAAAACAATAGGCAGCGGCTGTACCAAGACGTAAGCACGTCCTGTAATCTGGTGCTACGAATTGCAGCCAATCTCATTCGCCCCGTACACCCTTTGTTCTATTTCCCGTCTCTGTGTTCCGAGTTGTTGACCGTTTTGGTTCTCGTGAAAGCGGAAAGTCACCCAGAGTGTGTAATGAGATCGACCGGAAGGATAATAAATCATTAAGCACAATCAATCAAGTGGGCTGAATAACAAGGGATAAAGTGTGCAAAATCCGGTGAGAGCAGAAAATTTGAGACAAACACAGCACTGGCCAGAGTCAAAAGGTTCTATTTTCAATGCATCGCTGCTATACGAAGGTCCTTTCTTTTGATACAAGGTCTGCTTTTTTCTATATTCTTTAATCCTGTCCGTACGCCCTGGGGTCATTTTGTACCCCCGGGGTTGTATTCTTCACATTTTAGAATACTTCAAGTACGAAGATCTCTGAAACTTTCAGTACATGTATTTCTCAAAAAATCATTTTGACAGATTACTATGCAAAGCGTATGGATCAGATTAACGGGTTAATTTCCTCTTTGGAAAGTGGTGACGCAGAGTTCCCCACGTCGTATGGATACGATAGTAAAACACAACGTACGGATAGGGTTAAGCCATCTCTGACTGCTGACGTTGCTATAGGACTATTTCAAACATTCCTACGGTCAAAGTGAATAAGATGTGTGCACATTAACTGATTCTGGCTTGTGCAGGCTAACAATCAACATATAATAACGTAGATCTTTTACCAGACTCAAAGAGTAACCACACATTACTGATGACCACGTCGGTGCGTAGTGGGTTTACATAAATTATATATATATATATTTATATTTATGTAATATAATATCTATATATTTTCCCTTTTTGGTCTAGATTTATTGTTCGTACTGCTTGTTTGTTTGTTTGTTTGTTTGTTTGTTTGTTTATTTTTGACCGAGGGAAGGGGGGGGGGGAGCGGCATCTTTTTTCCCTTGTTTTTTTCAGGGGGAGCAGTAAAAATAAATGTGTCTTTCCTAGGAAGCGTTTAGCCATTACAGCAGATTGCCGGCTGTCGTTGTTCAAAATCAAGAACGTTCAGTATCTAAGTCTCTTTACCTTGCATTTAAAAAGAAAAATCACGTGGGCATCTGATGGGTTTGGTAATTTCAGGCAGGTACAAATGTCATCTGTGCTCAAAGCCAATACGCACCCGTCTGTTTGTTTGTTTGAGTAAAAGAATTTCAAATGCGGGTGTGTTTTGAAGCTGGGCTGAAATGGCCCGCCCATTGTAAAATGTTTAAATCGCGCCAACGCCCTTTTCTGTTCTGCCAGATGACCCCC